ATCTATCTGTGACAAAGCTGGCGCTAATAGATCGAATACATGTATAACGAATTTGATTTGCATATCATTATTGCCCTGTGACTCTGTTTTTAGCGTAAGTATTTACCAGTAAATGATCACTGTTATGTACACCACTCACACCTACAACTACAGTGCACACTTCAGTGTTGGTTATGATTAGAAACATTACCGTGGATGAAACATTTGTTATATCTGTGGGCGAGATGACCACGTTAGCTCAATTATTTTATTCAAGGACAGATTGAAATTAATATTTTGCACTTGAGGCTAGAGGCATATTGATATCGAAATCGCCACCCACAAACATATTATACTATTTCACAGTTTAAAAAAAAAATTAAGGAATTTATCGAAAAAACGGAGATAATTATCCAAGTGTGTACGAAAAATTCGGACTTCCCAATCCTAGCCAAGCTTGAGTAAGACATCCCAGCAGCTACTGTGACCAATTTACCTTTGAGTATCCGGCAGTGAATGATTATTTGGGTGACCGAGTGTTGGCCATTTTAGTTCGGAGCACTCAACCTGGAGTTACAGAAGAAAAAAAATGTACCGGGCGTTTTTGCGAAACATTTTTGTGTTTGTTAAAACGCTTAATAAACATCTTTTTAAGAATAGCGTGAAGTGGAGTGCACCGGTGGCTACGAGGCCTGGCTACGCGGTCTTGAGAAAAGAGAGTCGCGGTTTTCGACCACGCGTAAATGAAGTGTGCTAATCCTAATCCTAAAATATGTGACAAAAGGTGACGTTATAGCTGTTGGGACAGAAGACGAAAGTTTGATCGCATGACGTTTCCTGGACCGCAAGACCCAGGAAAGACGAAATTTCTCTATGAAGCTGACGTGCACCTCAGCCTGATATCTTTAAAAAGAGAACTGACAATGGGAATGTTTGTGGGACTTATATCAATGAAAATCACTTCTCAGCAAGAAAGATAATACTGTTTTTTTCCTGCTTCCTATGTCGTTTCGCTGATATATATATATATATATATATATATATATATATATATATATATATATATATATTGTGAGGGTGTTTTGGGGACAAAGAATAAGCAGACGGAGACGACGGTTTGCCCAGCCAAGACTGAATCTATCCTGTCTCGCGCGCGCAATCACGCCTCAGCTCGCGCTGTCTTTCGAGCACTTTGGCGCCCAGGTTGGCAGCGCTTGTCGCGCCACTTGCTCGCCACAATATATATATATATATATATACTGGGATTGAGGGAATCCCAATATACATATAAGGCGCAGCCAGTCCCCAAGAGGAAAAGTGGTTTCCTAAATACCTTAAAAGGCGGGCCTTTTCCAACATTTGCAAGCTGAAATGATGTGCTACGTCACTGCCCAAGCTCGGAACTGGCATGGGCCTTAAAACACCAACGCCTGTCGTCTATCCAGTTGAGCGGATTAGAAACTAACAGTACACAGAGAGCTGGTCGGAAGCTTGAGCCTTCCGAAACCAATGGCCGGGATAGTTCAATCGGAAAAATGCGTCACCCTGGGTAGGCGAATGTTGCGGGTTCGATCCCCGCTCCTGACCCCATTTGTCTTCAGCTATCTCTTCCTTCCCCTTCCCCTAACCTTAATGCAATAAATTCAATGATTACTCCCTCCCCTCTTCGCTCACAACATTATTAAGGCTGCACTTGTCAATCTTACCTCAATCCCCATTTATATATATATAGGGTGACTGAAATAACCAGGCTCGATTTAAATTGGGCCGACGATCGCCCTTCCACCTCCCCATATATATATATATATAGGGAGGAGGAAGGGAGATCGTCGGAGAGAGAGACCACATTTGGAGTGTCTGAGTTAAGAACGAGGCGGAAATGAACAGCAGTGCGTGTACGGTAGGGTTTAGCGTTCGTACATGAGCTTTTTCTCTTTTTTTTTTTTTTTTGCAAAGGGGCATTATTAGCTACCACTGTAAAAAAATCGCAAGTTAGATAGAGGCTATTGTCGACAGACCATTCCGATTATCGCCTTCTGGGTGCTGCCATCTTTGCCTCCTTTTTAGTGGAACGCGTTATGCATGCATGTGCAGAATATGAGACTATAAGACGCCAGAATGCGTTCCCAACGCGGTGTCTGGACATTTTTCGCCCGCTTAATAGGCGCTGGAAAGCTAATGCACTTTTGAAATGCCCGTGCGTTAGCTTTTCCGCATAGCCTCAAAGCGCCAATCAGTGCGATCGGTGGAGAGAGCGTGGCAAATGGCAATGCCGATAAAAGAAAAAAAAAATTCGAGCCAAAAGTTAGCCTATGGTGTAGTGGTGAGTACAAATTTTCATATGCGTAGGAATTGGTCGGTGTCCCAAAGCAGAGAACTCTTGAGTCAAAAGGATATTATTTCCGCGTCGTGATTCGCGAACCATTATCGGAGGATTGCAGTAATGAACTTTCCGAGCGCTTTGAGCGAAAGTTGTCGAATAGACAGTTACACAGCGCGGCTAGACACAGAGAAGAGAAGCACCAAAGAAAGGTGTTACATCCTAAAAATAAAATCTGCATCGTGGTGAAACACCGTGCATGGTGGGCTCAGTGGTGCCTTTGAGTAGATTGTAGTTTGGCTATTATAGTACTCGGTGGGAAACGATACGTGTCGCTATTTTTCGGGGTAAGCGCCGCAGCCGTAATGCTAGGTGATTCATTTATTTACCTCTAAAGAACCACAACGGCATTACATGGATAGAGGGCACACAGAACGCCATCATAGTCAGCGCAGAATGTTAAAATTGTATGAAATATAAAAGGAAACGAAATCACGCTACCAGACCTCAATAACGCGTTACATGGCGCATTGTCACGCACACCAGCATGTGGTAAGTTCTAAGTCATTAAAAATTAAAGCAAGACATATACAAGCGCTACCAAAAAAGAGGGTACATACAAAACCTTATAGTAAAACCTTGCTCGGCGATGATGAAATTGACAAGTCAAAATATAAAGGTACGCGTGCTACTTAGAAAAAACAATACATGTCATGATAAAGAGAGGTATCATTGAAACAAACGTGTCATGGCTTGTTGTGTGAGCGATTTCGCTTGCCAAGTCATTCCAGTCGACTATGGCCTGCAGAAGCGGGGGAAAATGTATACAAGTCAGTATTTCCCAACGGAATATGAACTTTGTTGGGGTGATCATGACGAGTAAAGATGCGGGTGGATGGGATGACGGTATTATCGCGCACTTCAGCTGAAGGGTGAAAGATCGAGCTTACGAAAATGCCATAGCTCAGCAAGATATATTTTCTGCTGACGTGTTCGTACGGCAATTGAGGCTTTAAGTTTTGTCGCTTACAGGTATGTATTGTTTTAGTATGAATCAAGTTGGCCCTTTTGAAGAGATTCTAGCTTGTCAATTAAATACTTTTGATGCGGGTTCCGAATTAAAGATGCGTACTCCCTCTTTGGCCTAATCAGAGGAGTGTAGGCTGCTAGTTTCGTTTCTGTTGTTGCCATGCACAAGTGTTTTTTTTATTGTTATTTTTATGCGTCGCCTACCGGAGGTTAGCGCGGGACATACGGTGAACACACGTGCGGCGTCAGCATTTGTCTAGGACACCTGTTCAACTATACATATCTGTACGATCAGTCAATATAAAAATTACGTTGGCTGGTACTCGTGATTGTGCTGACTGAGCGCGTGTCCCAGCCCGCATTTATTATGAAACTTCATTATTAACCCATATTCGCCGTAGAAAAATAACTGTTTCGTGCTGCCCTTAAAGTCTGAGGGGAAACACTGGTCTCGGAGTTCTTTCTTCTTTTTTATGACGAAAACCAATGAAACTGCACAAGGTTGTTCAACTTTTTTGTCCAATTTCAATTCTATCTGCTTATTTTCTTAGTCAGTAGAATGGTCCTCTAGATAATTAAAACTGGCTAGCCTTAGTTTGGAGAACCAAGGGGGAACACAAATTGCTGAGCAAGATATGCTTTTTAACACATGTCTAAATACTACGAAGTGTAGATAATACAATGCTGTAAGTACTTTTAAGATTAACCCATTGTTATTGGTTTTACCAAACATTGAAATTCAGTGCTCAAAGAGCAACTAAAAAGTAATAAAGCAAAAGATTAATCGAAATACTTCCTATACGTATATTAAAAAGGGTGCACGCAACATTGTATGCTTCACACATTTGGCTTTATGTTTAAGAAAATGCTATATGTTTTTTTGCCCTAGATGCCGAGATATCCCCCCTGCAAATTTTCGATGAGTTCAAAAAGGTCCTTTCTCATATTTTATGAGAAAGGAGCTTTAGGGTAACTTTAAACCCATATTTAGCCAAAATTACCATTATAATTTGATTCACAGCTCAAATATTTATCCACACAGTTAGAAACCTGGTACATTCTGAAGAACAGCAGCTGTAAAGTTCAACATCGCCATTTTCAAAAGAATAAACCCTTAGAAATGTTTTGGCTTCAAAGACCCATGTCTCCCCCTAAACAGGGCGTTTTTGTGGTTGGAACGTTCTATGCATGGCCCTTCTACCCGCGGGCTCTTGCGACCTGCTTCCGTGCGGGCCTTAAGTTTCGTTGTAGCCATTTTTACGGTGCCTGGAGCGCGTCCCCGACTGACGCGTTAACCACTTGCTTAAAAATGTTTCTCAGATTTCAGCCTGATGACGGCATGGAAAGTGGATGGGACAGACGCCTGTTCCGCTGCGGGTCCCTATGCAGCCAGACAGACTGCGGAAACCGAACCAGACGCGAGTTGTGACGCCGCGACGACAGCGACCCCCGCGACCGCGGCACTTTTACGCCAGCATTTCTTGGCCCAACCGCCAGGATCGAGACATAGAACAGCATGACAGGCCGGCCCCTGTGGCTCAATTTGTTGCCACTTGGTAACCACTTTCGATGCGAGGGCGGGGTATCACGGTAAACGCGCTGGTTGAAGACGCATTTTATGCACCGTATTATTACGGTGGTATCCCTTCTTTAACCTTGGGTTTGTGCGCAGGCGTACCTCACCCCCGTGCTCCAGCCGACGAATTCGAACACGTCGGGTGGGAGTGGAAGTGGCCTGAGCGCCGGCACGAGCGGCACGACGTCTGACGGAGGCCTCCACGGGACGCTCGGAGGCGAGGACGTGTCCTCACCGCAAGACTTCGGCAGGGTGGCTGGCGGAGATGCGGCCGGGAACGACCTGATGGGCGTGGCTCGAGTGGCCAACATGGGTCAGATCCAGCACATGGTCGGCCCGCTGGACAACGTGCCCTACTACATGCCCTTCAACGGCCGGGAGAACCACAACGAGAAGGAACGCAAGAGGAGGTGAGTGGACATCACTTATTGCCGCCGTCACTCTAATCGTACATCATACAGACGACGGGGCCGTAGACACGGGGATAGAACTATCTTCGGATAGGCCTTAGGCAACGTTCGAACCATGTTTGCTTTACGCATGTCTAAAGAAGCTTTTTTTTTTTTTTTGAACTACAAATTTGACACGACCGAAGGAAGAAACAAACCGCAGATAATAGAGAGTTTTAGGGAACCGTTTCTGCACATCCGATACGGTACGATGGGCTCTCCGGTACGCACTGCGCATGTGCGAGCCATCTGTGGTAGCGCATGCACAGTTCGTACGTAAGGGTCTATCGTACCGTATGGGGTGTGCAAAAACGGTTCTCTAAAACTTTCAAGTGTCTGCAGACCATCTGTGATATATTAGTAATCAAACCGCGGTTTTATGATCATTAGCAGTTCCTGAAACGCAGGTTAATTATGCTCCCGCTCCTTGCTTCGGGGACTAGTTCTTTAGTGCTTCTATCGGCCTCCAATCTCAATGACTGAGGAGCGATTATAAGATGCCAGAGATTCGCCATGTCCTGTGTTTCTTAAGTTTGGCAATGACCAACATATACGCCGGTTCAAGGCTGGTCATCTGAACGAAAACTGCTGAGTCACTGGACTCTGGTCGCATGCGCGCCGTCTGGTATTCCGTAGAAGAGAGCTGCTCCCCATGCTTGGAACTGGTCCCACAGCCAAGGAAACCATAACAGGACAAGAAACACGATTGTTAGAATGGTCTATAGGGGTTATTCGCGGGACGCCATTAAAGTTCGTAGTCGTTCGCAGCGTATTCCAAGAGCTGGCAGACATTTACCTTCTGTCGAGGACGCAAATCTTGTAAAGTAAACAAAAATGTTTACCCGAATAATGGATCCATGGGATGTGACGCCGGGCACGAGTGTCTTATGCTCAGGCTATGTCACGTCGCAGATTTTGTAATGAGCAGGAAATTCTGTTTTCGGTCACGTTCTACAATCCCTGACGCGTCCTGTCTCCTTCCTGACCTCGTTTGTGACGTCTGTTGCTGGTTGCAGGACACGAATCAAGAACGCCTGCCAGACGCTCCGGTCCCTGGTGCCGGGTCTGAGCGAAAAGACGGACAAGGCGACCGTGTTCGAGTTTACGGTCCAGTATTTACTACACCTAAGAAGACATCTAGGCGCCAAGCACGATAAGGTACGCCATCTGTCCTCATTGGCTTGTATACCCTGAAAGGATGACTTCATACTGATTGTGCGGATGTTGGTATCTGCACCGTTAATCTAATATACGTTCCCGTGGCAACAAGATAGCCAGGATGAAATAGACCTGCAAAGCGTGCAACGCCGTTCACATCGGCAAATGGAATGCCGGGAAGTGGTTCTAAAGAACCGGTTTCACTACACAAAGAAGGCGACCTTGGAGGTGCGGAGGATACGCTGGCGTGTGGTCGAGAGCACGCGACCAAGCTCTTCACCGTCTCTCCTTTTATCTCTCGGTCTCTTTAGTGTTATTCGGTAAATAAACACCTCCTCGGGAACGCAATGGTGGTACTGGAATTTCTTCGTCACCTATCCGAAGCCACTGCGGGGAAGAGTTTTGACACAAGTGCAACGTCACTGTTGAGCCTGGACTCGTGTTTACTTTTTGAGATCACGAGTACCAGCAAAAAGAATGCTTGCTTTTGTGTGCCAGCAACCTTTTTCCGTGTTACTGTGATCAGAAATAAGTATTAATGTATGTAGGTAAGCTGAACAGTGACCTAGCACTGATGTCTAGTATGGGCCTTGCACTGGCTTCAGCTGGATGACGTAGAAGGTTCAGCACCACGACTTTGTAATATGTACTTCTTCTCACGCAAAAAAAAAATGCGCATGATTGATGTAGTCTTTAGATAATTTGGTTGTCGAAGGACGAAACGATGCTCTTGGCGTTGAACCGTGTACGTCTTGATAAAATAACCTAAAGCTAACCTAAAGAGCACGCACATATATGATAAATCAACGCTCAAAATGGGAAATTCTTAACGTCGCCGGAGGAGGCGTGTTTTTTTTCTAATTTTTACTACGGTTGGTGAATTAAATACGAGTATATAAAAGGTGTTGGTTGGTGAATATTGGCCAGAAAGAGCAGGACGTTAACGTAACTCGTTGCAAACCTTCTGGGACTTTTGCGAAATATCTAATGCTATTAAGTGGCTCCCCTATTTTTAATGTTTGGCCTTTCTTTCATTTTTACGTCTATGTGCTAAACCCTGCGCAGGAAATCTGTCGAGGATTGTGCTGTGGTTACTCATGCGCATAGAAATGGAGGGAGAGAAAGAAAACAGAGGGGCGCGGGGTCGTGCACAACGCCGAGGTTTGATTGGAAGGATTAGTGGGTGGACCTAAAGCCAGCTGCCTTTGTCTCCACTACGCTCGTCGAACACGTTCCAATGTGAAAGCCAAACACCGGACGCCAGCGTTTCGCATACTAGAGGCTGAACTCCGTGGAGCGAATTATGCGACGAATAACTGACTAAGTTTGCCCGACAGCGCGCTCCCTTTGCGCGCGATGTAGCAGCCACTGTGCTGATGCCACTCGTCGAGACAAGGGCGCTCGGCAACATTCGTCGATTTTTCACAGCACATTCGCCCCATGGAGTCTCTAGACTTAAACGGATACTACAACAAAATTTCGGCGCTTGCTTCCAGGTCTCTTCGTGTTCAAGGGAGGATTATCACATCAGACACAGCAATATCTTGTTAAAAAAAGACACGAAAAGGGATTTCCAAAGGATTAAACAATTAACTAAGAGCACCCGGTGGATGTCGCTAAAGCATCGTTTGTAACACCCGTCGAGGAGCCTTGATAAGTAGTGACGATACCTGTCTCGCCTCCGGCCACCAGGAGAGAAGAGAGGAAGGAGGAACTCCCCTTTTCCCGAGACACTCATTTGTGTGTCTCGGACGTCACTATTGTCCCTATACAATATTATAGAATAAGAACCCGTCACTCAAAATTCGTAAAAAAGTAGCGTTGGGGTTAATTGCGGAGGCCCGATCGCGGGCGTGCCGCGGGCGTGCCTCGGCCGCTTTGGTGGCTGGAACGTCTAGGACATCCTCTCGATGTGAGCCTCGCCGCAGTTTTGCTCGTCCCGAGACAGACTACGTTACGATTGCGTCGGATGTCACGTGCTCTCCTCTGCTGCTCTCCGAGCGCTTGCCAGTTTGGTCCGCTTATAATAAACAATGGAGTCTCCAGGTTCAACATACAAAGGCGCGATTGTCATTTACTGATAGTGTGGATCATATTCAGTCTATATCTGAGCACGACGGGTATATTTCAAATTTCGTCGAAGTATCCCTTTAATGCGTTCGACGACTGCAGTGGAGATTAAGGCCGCCTTTGAGTCCACTGCACTCGTCGAAGGTGTTCAAACGCGAAAGCTAAACACCGGCCGCCTATGCTCCGCATTTTAACGCGGTCGACGAGTGAAGTGGATACAACGGCAGCTAGCTTTAGCTCTAATCACTAATCTCCCAACCAGAGCTCGCCGTCCTGACGTCCTCGTGTTTTGCCCTTAAGGCCAAAATGTAGGGACTTCAAGAAGGCAAAGTCACTTTACGACTGCAGGATACAAATGTCGTAAAGTGGTAAGCTGGGCGAGTTGGCAAACGTAGAACACGATGAAAAATCGCGCGCAGAGCGCGCCTCTCTATGTTATGTGTTCCATCTTCGTTTTCCTTTGCTCCTTTGGGCGATTTTTCATCATGTACAAATGCCGCTTTTCTCTAAACTTTTCGAGAACTCTATGTAAACTATGACACAATTCAGCACAAAGGCGTGCTTTTATAAAACGCGAACCAAAACGTCTTCTTTCGCAAATGTACGAGACAGAAGAAACACTTATAAAGATTTATGATCTACATAAACAAATAGGAACGTGTCAGACGCGCTGATTATTGATTTCGCTAAAACATATGCGGTCTTCAGTGCACCCTTCTTTTGCGAGAAACTAGCATATCTGTTATGAGTATATCTTCTGGACTTCATACAAGGACAATTCGCGAGATTGTATGTAAATATCTAGCGATCAAATTGCCGAAATTCATTTGATTCTCTTCCGAAGAAAATAAGTGCAGATATCGTGATGTCTATGAAAGTACTCAAGGACGGATCCTTCACTGCGGTTCTCATAACACATATCGTGAAATAGACGTCGGTTTCGAATGAACGGTTAGCAGAAAATGATTTCATGGTTTTGGGAACAGAAATTACGGTCTGATTGGGTGTCTATTAGTACAGTACTGAAAGAAAATAGGTAAAAAGTTACCAGAATGTTGTCGCCTCTTGCATTGGCAAAAGTATTGGGCAACGCACTTTGCGTAAATATATACTCTGTACTCTATTCGTTCGTACGCTGACCCACGGCCGGACTGGAAGCGCGCTCTCTCTCTCTCTCTTCTTACGGCCTTCGCAATTGGGGCAATCGCCACCTCCCGCCGCAATTCGCGGGGGGCGCTGTCACCTCACCCCTGGGCTGGCTACTCTTTGCCGTTTGCACAGAGCGCTTCTGACAGTGTATCTCAGCGCTGTCGCAACTTGCGGCCGAGATTTTTATAGCCTTTGACACCTGATCCTTACGTTTAGACTCCCAGCCACTATCTAGAGCGCCTTTGATGAGCCTGAAACGGTGAATATTTGACGCACATCTCCGAGAGATTCGGGAGTAAAAAGTAGTAAGTAGAGACAGCGAATGCAATTGCGGAAAAACCAAACTGGTCTTTACCTCCAGGACTTCTGTTGCAACTCAAGAACAGGATGAGACAGACCCCTTCTAAATGGAGGAATGTTCAATGATAAATAATTCGTACACTCTCGTGAAATGTAAGCAGGCCCAATCGATCTATTGCCGTGGTCTGCATCATCATTTCATAGGTCGCACATGAAGAGTACTGCGCCCTCTATACGAGGGTGTAGTAGTCTGTACAATTTTCGCACAGTGCATATTGCAGCCTAAAGTGCTTCCTCGAGGACTTGTGCGTATATCCAGCTGATTTTTTGTTTCTGTCCGTGACCGTCTTTGCACGGTTAATCAGAAGTATTCTGAGGAACTTGTTGGAAATTAAACCAGCCAAGCGCTTTGAGTGACTGCTGTCAATGCCCTCTGGGCAACTCAGGATTGGCGCGTCTTCAAGATAGGGTGCAATGAGTATAGTTGCAGAACTACGTGCACATTTGTATGCGGAAGGTTCTTAAGAGCCTTTAAAAAAAGGCAACAATGTTGTCCAGAAGTGCAAGGAACCTAGGATTTGGATAATGAAGTCCGCTTTTATCCTGGCCTTGCAATAAGACGAACAGAGGATCACCTCTGTTACTCGTAGTCAACAGCATAGCACAGGCGTCGCACCGAAACTTACTAATGAGTTTCACCAGGTAGCCACCGACGTACACCAGACCAGAGTATGTCACGGATGGAGATGGAGCGCAAGGCTCTTTCAGGTTTTTCATGTTAGTGGTAACCTACGAAGCTCGAACACCAGCGCAAAGTAGCTCGAAGGGACTCTTCGAGTGGGGTGAAGTGGGGTGAGCTGGTTGCGCCCCTGGCGGCAGGCAAGTGAACTACATACGGAGGAAAAATGCCATTGACTCCCGGGCGATTGCAAAGGCCGTAAGACGAGGAAGAGAGCGCGCGCTTCCAGTCCGGCCGTGGCTCACCATCTAGCAGAAGCAACGCACTCGCCGAACCAATGAACCGCCTCCCTTTCGTTCCCGAACCCCACTCTTTCTGCTCGTGGGCATGCGCGGAAGCGTGATCACGTGTCGAATGTAAAAGAGCATGATTGGTCCAACGAGCACGTTCCTTCCACCGCATTGTCAGCTTAGAGGTGACGGGAGTATAACAGCGATCGCCTGGGTATCCCCTTTTAGATCATTATAGTACAAGACCCATTTAAACGAACTAAATTACGAAAGAGCAATTATCGTACGACCGGTTATAAAAGTGCAGTGTTGGTGTCGAGGTGTGTGTATACTAAAACGAGGATGGTCGGTGTTTTAAGCTAAATAACGAGTTATATTTTTCTATCGACGAGGTTTCAAAGCTCCAACGAATGCTTCCCTCTGTACTGCGAAACTGTGTTTTTATTTATGCATAGTCAGTGTTGGCGGTAACGTGTTACAACTAAAGGTGCTAACGGTAACGCGTTAGTTTTTCCGGTAGCGTTGTAACCTACTCGATTTATTTTCAAAACACTAAAGGGCGACGTGTTTCCGTTACTTATTTCGAATAACTTGAGACGTCATTACTTAACTCGTTGCGCGTTCTTTCCAAAACTTAAAAAAAAACTACGCTTAACTTTTTTTTCACGTTTCTAGGCACCAAGCTATATTCTTTATATTATGAAATGCAAATTAATGCAAACATGCAAGCGAGCTGGACAAGGATGACAATAATATTCACTGGAGAATGACGATATTACTCCTTTCTCCAGGGATTATAATCACCATCATGTTTTTGAGTTTTTTTGCCTTTTTTGCCTATTTTGTCGTGAGTACTTAGCTGGAACTGTGACATAGATAAGGTTATTATGTTCAGTTTATTGATGTGCATAATGTTTCTTGAAATATGGCGCTTATGCATACCTATAGCATAAAAAAAAAAGAAAACGTGTTAATTCATAATTTAAAAAAAAAACGCAAAAATAACGACGAGCGTTACCTTTTAAGGGTAACCGTAACGCGCTTCTTTTATATTGAGGTGACGTAGGTCGGTAACGCGTGCCTTTTATTTGCAAGTAACAAATTACTTATTTCGTTACTTGTTTTTTGTAATGCCTACAAAACTGATATAGCCAACGAGTTTGCGACATGTGTTGTTACAAACTCCGAAGAAGGAATCATGACTCATGAGGCAAGCCTGAACATAATAACCCACATCTTGTGCTTCATAACCTGTCAGTGGGTATGGTTAACATATAGTAATATTATGTAGTTTAGCGTTTTCTTTGTCTTTACCTTCTCATGTTTTTTTGTGTTTTTTTTGCGGACTGTGGCAGTCAATTTCGCAGGAGTTCATGGAAAAATACTCGCCGTACTGAAGGAACCGATATCAACGGGTTGAAGGTTGCCCGCTTCGAAAGGACTGTGGAGCCTGGGTGGAACGCGTGGGATCGCCCGAACCTTGAACAAGGCACGACAGAGTGCACCGGACCTATGCTTCTCACCGTTTCTACTCCCGACTTAGACGGCAGGACCACAGATGAATGGATACAAAGCCAACGACACTGCCGTACACTGCCTTGTTGCCCGCATTGTATTCTTCTCTCGTTCGAGTTTTTTTTCCACGTCCGCCTTAGTGTGTATGTTTTTCCCTGTGCCAAATTTTAACGAGTTGAAATGAATAGCGTGTGGCCCCGATTAACCTGATTGTGATCGAGGTAATGAACTTTCTAAGCCAATTTACAGGCGTTCATTTAGGCTGTGAGACTGTTTTCGTGACTACGACCCTGGGTGCTTCATTAAACAATTTTGGTGTGAGAAATTGTGTTGCTGCTTTGGCTCCCTCTCCCGGTTCTTTTAAGGGTGGTTCGGGCATCAGAGTCAATGCGAAGAGCAAGTTCGTCTGCTTATTTTGCAGGGGTCGGGGTGACGTTAGAACGCCGAACGCTGATTGGCTCTGATTGAAGGAGAGGAGGTAGACCTCAAGTCAGCTGGCATTGGGGTATGTTCGCTATCTTTCCAATCAGAGCCAATCGGAGCTTGGCGTTGTGACGTCACCCCGACCCCTGCCAAACAAGCAGACGAACTTGAGCTCCGGATGGCGTTTGCGTAAATGAAAATGACAGTGATGACAAGGCCATGTGGACCAATTTTCCTCGAATATAGAATAGCGAATAAAGTATACCGCTTGCAACTGACAAATGAGACAGCGAGAACAGAGGTCCGCTGTTTTGCTTTTAATTGTCAAGAAGGAAATACATGTGAGCAAAAAGCGCGTCGCGTCCAAACCGAAACCTAATTTGACGTTCGTGTTCATACAACATACGGTCAGTCTGTATTTGAGGTGCGCCGACACTGGCTGACGCCGTAGATGACAAATTTAGCCAGTGAAGTTCCGCTGCTAGCCTTGGGCCTTTGACGTGCGTCACGCAATAGGGGTACACGACCGCACGCCGGTAGTATGCTCATCCAGATCGAAACGGGCAGGCATCGTTGAGCGACGTGCCGCGGAGCGGGGTGCTGGTAGATAATCTTTTGTCTTTATATTACAATGATTTTTCATGCATACCTATTTTACACAAATGTTATACTAATTGTGATTTGGAGATTTTTAAGGCGGAATGGGTTTTATCAGCCGAATGTTAGGAAACATCCCATTGATGCTTAAGCCACGTTCGTTTGTTAAGGGTGGTTCACACGCTTGCGAGCAATTACGACCGACTCCGATGCAATCTGTTTTTAAACCACATGTGACTGCTTGCGACGGGACGAACAGCAGAATCGATGGCGGTCGTAAGCAAAGTAAATGTCGACGGTGTTGGAGTCGGTCGTAGTCTGCTGCAAGTGTGAACTAGCCTGTAAAGGCCCGTTCACACACTTGCGTTTGACCACGACCGACTTGGACAAGGCCGTTTTCTATTTTTTTTTTTTTTTGCTTTTTTAACGTGAAACGTTTTTTGGCTATTTGCCCCGGATTTCGCGAAGCCAGATAAAGTGAATTAGAGACCCGTGACGTCGCACATCTTTAGCTTACCAGCTAAATTTTAAAAGGACATTGATGTCAGGTTACTCCACCACCCATTTATATTCCCCACTAATTTAGAGGGAAAAATGATGTCACATGACTTTGTGTCACGTGACCTATATATATACATTTAGTTTCCCCACTAGATTATCCGGGATGATTGACGTCACGCGACTCAAACGCCAATACAGTTTCCGCGCTAATTTTAGCGGGAAAAATGATGTCACATCACTCCATGTAACGTGAACTACACACACATTCAGTGTCTCCGCTAAATCTAGCAGAAAAATTGACGCCCTGTTACTGAACGCGAATTTAGATTCCACTCTAAACTGAGCAGAGAAATTGTTAGTATTGACTAGATGTTACGCGACTTATACTCCAATTCAGCTTCCACGCCAAATTTAACGGGATATTTACAATGCGTGACACCCCATTGCATATTGGTGCTGCCACCAGGGCCGGTTTTCTCGAAGCGATGGTAAACCCATTTTGGTAAGCCACGGTGCCTAAGAAGGAAAAAGTACCTAGGTACTGTAATAAACGGCTGGATATAGAACAATAATTATTTTTGATTGGGCAATAAGAGGCGCCATCTATCGGTGAAACAAGCCAGTCATTTTGTTTGTCCTCTTTTTCCGCTGGTTGTTATCGATCTAGTATGGTATTTTAAGTCACAATATAGTAATGTTGTACTTGAAGGCCAATTTATTTCCTTCAGATGGTACGAAGAAATTTTAGCTACTATGCTAGAGTTTGCCGACGATTATTCGAAAATGTAAGAAACATTTCTTTCAATATGTTTAGCCATAAACAACGCATAACATTCCCGTGTGCCTTCCAGTCTGGCAACGCCGGTGCTGTAGTCTCATTTTTGTTCCTTGCGACGCACGTTTCTGTGATTCCTGCTGATTTCAACTGTTTGCCCCTTTTCCTTTGCCCAACCGATCCACCGGTGACGAGGAGCTAAGCTTCTCGTCACCGTTGGATTGCTGGCCACCTGGGATTTGTAGAAACCTCGATGCTGTCGGCATACTGTCGGCGCACTGCGAACAAAGAAACAGTACAATGTCCCAGCTGTTCACCCGGAACGAAGACTTTATCGAGGATAACCCCCTTTCTTCGCAAAGTAATCGCTGCTCACGAGTTGGCGTGCATAGTGTAACAAATTGAACGTGTTAGTATCAATATATACCAACACTAGTTCGGAAAACATTTTTTTTACTCACCATAAAAACACTTGCAAGGCTTATGCACCGTCATATGTCTTGGATCCCGGACTGCTGAAGAGTGATGCGTTCGCGGAACGCTGCCGTCGGTTAGTTTAGTAGTCCCTCTGAACTACCGCTTTGCTTGACGTGCTAATAGGTTGATGGTGCGTCATTAATAAAACAGCCGGATCGAAATGAATGTTCAGCAGAACCAAGAAGAACTATTAGCCCTCATTAAGCGACGTCGCGGCCATTTTGCTTGTAGGTACTGCTCCTCCCTCGGCGCCCCTGCTCTCCCAGTCACGTGACCTAGAATTCCCTCTTCTAGGGACAATAGTTAACTTTAACCCACGGTTCGCGTTCCAGAAAACGGGCCCAGATGCTGCTGCTCGCAGTAGACAAACCCAGAAAGCAAATTTTGTCATGGATACGTGAGACTCGGAGAACAACTCTCAAGTTTGCAAATAATGCGCGGTGAACGATATGATGAAGAGCGCCGTAAGAATATCACTACACGTTTTTGATGCTAGAACGTGTCGCATATGCAACACAATTGCATAGCAATATGCTTTCCATTTTTGAAGCCCCTTGTGACTGCTTACGACTGCCATAATTGCTGCCCAAGAAATTGTAAGCCGTCACAAGAGATTTCAAAACGGTCTTGTCTGGGTTGGTCGTAGTCAAGTTCAAGTGTGTGACTGGGCCTTAACAGAGTTTAAAAATATCTAAAGTATACACTAACTCAAGTTTACAAACAACCCGGAGCGCCCATAGCGACACGCCAGCCGCGCCGCACATTCAAGGGGGGGGGCGTGAAGTTTTAGTAGCGTTGGATGTGACCAAGACAAGCCGCGTCCGGCATCAAAGCAATAGATCATATGCTATATTACCCAAGTGTCAAGGAGAATGCAGGAATTGGGGTTCCACGTGCCACACGCGCACGCCTTCCCCGTATAAAAGATTCCAAGTAAGTAACCAAAATAAAGAGTTGACGAACGCGCGTGCAAGGTGCAATATGTTTTGGGCATTTGCTTTAAAAAAGTTACTTTTGCTGAGGCCAGCATGTGCAGCGCGTGGAACACCAATCCCTGCATTCTCCTTGATGCTTGGGTAATATAGCAATAGGTCTATCGGAGTGTGTGTATATTCATATAGCCTAGAACTTGGTCTGCCTCAACGGGCGACGAGTCTCCCAGCTGTAAATAAAAACTTTAGCCACTGCAGTATATCCGGAAGCCTGGGGTCTTCAAAAAATGAGCATCGTATACTGCACGCCGGTACTATGCTCATCCAGATCGAAAGGGACAGGAGTGGTGATTGAACCCAGAATTCTGGGTTCTGCAGCGAGAGCTTTTGCTCCACGTGCTTCCAGCTAGTGTGTGCTAGCCCACTAGGCCACCAATTTCCCCCCCCCCCCCCCCGCGTCCGGCATCAACAAACCATTGGAATGCGCCTTTGTCTCTGTCGGTGTGAGACCCTGTGATCTTTTTCGCGTTCCAATTCTTGATTCTACGTCCTCCTAGAAATGCCTTACTACTTTCGTGGCCTGAGCGAAATCAACAAGGCTCGTTACACCGCAAAACTTCGCGTCAATAATAGCGAGTTTTAGTAGATCATGTTTACCCCCCCCCCCTCCCCCCCTTCCCCCCCGCGGGCTAGCCCTCCGCTACGAAGAAACCACCACTCTGCCTGCGTGCCGATGGATTTGGCTCTAGAATTCCGGGTAGCAAAGGGGCCTAGCGGAGGGGGAAACACGGTCTACTAAAACTCTCTAATAGGGAGTTTTCATAGACCCCGTTTCCCCTCATCTAATCTCTCCGCAACGAAGATGCCGCTACTGCACCTGAGCGCCGATGGCTTTGACTGTAGAGTTCCGGGTATCATACAGGTTGCGGAGAGCATTGCGGGACGGCGAAACGATCTATAAAAACTCCCTAATTTGGCGTGCGGCGATTCATTCCGCGTGAACGGCGCAGAATGGACGCTGGAAGCTCATTCATACGATGAGTTTCTGCTCAGTCGCGACGTTGCTCGGACTGCAAATGTGTGGACGGTAGCTGCTATTCTCGACGTCGATACTGAAAATCGCAAGCAGAATCAAACCAAGGGAATCAGGTACAAGTCGGTGATAACCACCGGTAACAATGATCAACATCTCCTTGTATCTGCGTTTTACAGGAAGCTATACTTACCCTAAACAGCCTTCAAATTCAAGTCTTTTGA